AATAATCCATGGCAAGACTGTACATAATCTATGCAACAGAAACCACGAAGAAAGAGCTGTCGATCGGCATTAGACTGATGCAAAATTTGACTTTATCGCTCCACAGTGCTTAAATGGTTTCAAATCGGATCCTGATTAGCCTCCCAAAGTTACAACTCATTTGGTTAGAAACAGACTTCGCACAAGCCATTTGAAGTTTACATGTAAATTACTATGGGAAATCTCAACATTTTGTTCATTGCCTTCTAGTCTTTTTCCATATTGAGCTGCAAAACAGCTCGATAGCTATTCTTATAGAAAATTTTCTCAGCTACAACTTTGTTGAAGATCGTTTCTATGTAAAACGAGACAGAAAATAGTTATTAATTATTTAAGAGATTGGTAAACTTATGACATGATCAAGCAGCTGCTCTGAAGGCAACACTGTATTTTGCAGTGTGACATAGTAGCCATGATTTTTGTGTCCTATTCAACGCCCCAGAAACACCAATGTTGCCTGCTGAGCAGTTGATTGAGCATGATCATAAGACATCAGCGCATTGAACCATTGATAACTTTCGATCCTTGCATTTATTCAAGATGTGATCTTCAGCAAAGCTTCAGTAGCTGGGAAAATTTCCTACAAGCACAGTTGAAATTTTTTGAAGCAGACTAATATCATAGAGGTAACTCTAAGACCACTGGGTCCCGAAGAAAATCATTATTATTGTTGGCTCACTCAGTACCAGAACAACGGTCCCAAGCAGTCCCACGCTATTTCACTCACCCTAGAGTCGGTGTATAATGAGTCACGCCAAGAGAAAAACAGTTGAACTCGCATCACGGTTTTAGAAAGATTCCATTTCTTTTCACTTGGCAACAGAGGACTGCTACATCAACTTCAAATGACTTCCAGCGAGCAAAAAAAATAGCGGCTGTTGTAAATCATTATATCAGTGATTTTGTCCAATCATCTCAACAAAAAATAGTAGAAATTCTCATTAATGATCGCTACCAAACGTATCCCATGACAATTTAATGATCACTGCGTGTTTATGATCATTTTTTCGATTATATTTTATATTTTATTGCAATACCTTTCGTGGACCTTTCATAGCATCGTAATGTTTGTTTACTTTGCACGATAGGTAGCCGGTTTGACAGTTCAATAGGTAGACTTGGCTTCACTCTTGGCGTGACTCATTATACACCGACTCTAACTCACCCCTGCATGTTCTGCATGAATCCACACACCCCTGATGTTATCTGTCAAACTTTCATAGCAAATCAAAACAAACATAGTGTAGTAATAGAATTTCAACTATAATAGGGTACGTTAATCGTTTGCTTGGGACCAATAGGCTACTAAAGTGGTGAGCCAATTTAAAATCGTTAGTTTCGTATTGATTGTTGCTAATATGGTGAATTATTAGATAGACATTAACAAAAGTCTTGGTTTTACCATAGTAATTCCCATACAAACTTCAAATGGTTTGTGCCATCTCAGTTTCTCACCAAATGGGTTCAAATTTTGAGAGGTTAGTCAGGATCCGATTTGGAATCGTTTAAGTATTGTGGAGCGAAAATTTCAAAATTTGCATCACTCTAATCGGCATGCTTGGGTGCTTGTATGCATTAGTGGTAGCTGCGAGATCTCAAACAGAGTTCTATCAACAATCAATACGAAACTAACGATTTTAAATTGGCTCACCACTTTAGTAGCCTATTGGTCCCAAGCAAACGATTAACGTACCCTATTCTAGTTGAAATTCTATTACTACACTATGTTTGTTTTGATTCGCTATGAAAGTTTGACAGATAACATCAGGGGTGTGTGGATTCATGCAGAACATGCAGGGGTGAGTTAAATAGCTTGGGACTGCTTGGGACCGTTGTTCTGGTACTGAGTGAGCCAAAAATAATAATGATTTTCTTCGGGACCCAGTGGTCTTAGAGTTACCTCTATGGTTCTATGGATGTTCAAAAGATGTATTTTCTTCCAAATTCAAATCGGTCCGCACGAGGCCCATGTAAAATTTATAGAAGAGCTTTATGACGATTTCAGTATAATTAGGCATACCTATTATTACAAAATACATTCGACAGCCATTACTCGTATTCATCGGACGTGTGCTCTTTCTGCTCTGCTTAACTTGGTGAAATATTGTAGCGAAAATGAGTGTAGTTCGTAAAAACACACTTGTTGTTGACTTCAGTGTCCTTCCAGTTCGTCCCAATGCGGGAAAAGTGCAAAAATTCTTCGAGAACAATATAAGGCTTCAATATTCGGACGTTAGATGCATTCAGTTTCATAACGTCCGAAATTGTGTTTTTATTGAGATGATAGACAATGAAGTGGCCTTGCGCTATGAAAAGGCGCACAACTATAAACACGCGATTCTCAGTGCGAAGAGTGAGTTCAAAATCCCGATATATGTGGATTGTGAAGCAGTGACCGTTCGAGTGCATGACCTTCCTCTGGCATGGCCACAAGCCACTATTATGAACCACATGTCAAAGTACGGGACAGTGATTTCCAGTCGACATGAGAAATGGAAGCACTACTTCCCAGGATTCCTGAGCGGTGTTCGAGTTTTGCGAATGCGACTTGAAAGCACCATTCCATCGTACATCACGGTCGACAACGAAACACCGTTGGTAACGTACGACAAGCAACCAAAAACGTGCCGCCATTGTGGCCACGCAGCACATCCCAAACAGAAATGTTTAGATGTAGCCACATCGAACAATAGCAGCGCTCCAGCAGCTCCACCAACCGAGGGGGTATTCAGTCTCGCTGATTTCCCGTCGATTGATATCGAACCAAAGCAGCCAACGACATCGGGTCAATCATCTGCTGCTTTCACCGGGTTCTCAGCAGAAGAACAACTGCGAAACAACGAGGATCATACCTCTTCAAACGTTGAAAGCAACGACGAAAATTCTAGCACCAGCTCATCAAACGCAACAAAGGATCAAATTGAAAATACCAACAAACGCCGGCTGTCGAAACACAAGGAGAACGAAAAAAGAAAGTTCGTGCTGATCAGTGCACCCAGAAGACTGGTCAGCAAACAGATCGTTTAGATGATAATAATGCAACTTATCAAATAGGGAATAATACGTTTTATTTGAAAAATAAAAGCGGGAAGGGTTCTAATTGTTAATAATGCTCATCGGCCCAGGCAATGCCTAATAGGCAAGGGGGCCTTATAAATGAACGCAAAAAAAAAAAATTATAATAAAATATGGAGTATTATTTAGGGACTTGTCTCGCTCACGAAGCGCTGAAATTTGGACAACCCTAGATAACATGGGTGAGACATTGGAGAAATATTTATGAAAATTGGTTGTGAAACCTAGGACCGAGTGATTCGTGAACCTGGTATTCCGCGTTAGTATTTTGTTACCGGTATGTCTAGTGTTAATCATATCAGAACGTTATCGGCTCCGAAATTAATTAATAACTAATTATCTTGAAGTCTAATCAAAAACAGGTATTCACCAAAGCTGATAAAATTTCACATAAGAGCAACATTTTCCATATCTAGATAGAGCTCGAATTTGGGCGTAACAGTTTTGTAAACAATGACTGCTCTCGATGATTTATAGGAATTCAAGGCACGCCCACGCAAACCAACATAACCATCGGGTAGGGGAAGTCTTTCTCTACCCGATGGTGATGTAGATTTGCTTTTGCTAGCCTTGACTTTCTAGAAATCATCGAAAGAAGTCATTGTTTACAAAAGCTGTTACACCCCAATTCCAGCTCTATCAAGATATATCATTATGGCGAAGGGCTAGGACGGTGAAAGCCTTGTATTTCCCATATAAACTGCAAAGGATTTTTTTTTTGGTTGCTGGAACAAAATCTATATTTTGAACCACCCAAATGGCACATGTCGCACACTCAAGCTTGGTTTCATTTGAAGAAAGAGGGTTGGGTGTAAACCAAAAAAAATATAATATATAATCTGTAGAATCAAACGGACATGGTGCGAACGTGGTTCCCCAATCGGTTCGAAACGGATTCGGGCTGAAATAAGCGTTCATTCTTTTGGTAGCGGTTTGTCATCGAAAATCACACTGAACACGGATTTTTTTTTGTTGATATTTATTTGGTTATCCAAGGTTTGTTTTCTTATTACAATGCTGGTTTCCACGGTTTACTTCCTGTGTATATTTTTGTTTGTCCTCATGCTAAAGAATAATGTTATCCTCATAGTGTACTTATAAGACTTCTGAATTGTTTTGTTTTATATTTTGTTTCCTGTTGCTTTGCGTTCCTTTCATTGTGTTTTCGTTTTCATTTATGTTTCCAAATTAATTTCGCTTGTTCTGCGCAACTATCTCGTTCCTATCCCGGTTCAGTTATTCATAGTAGTCCACATACGACAAAACACGAAACACAACTTTTAACTAAACCCCGTCTTCTGTTAAGTCTTTTCCTTCTCGATTCGATAAGAAAAACTCGGCTGACGGTGAATTTAACGGAATCTGTTGTTGGCATTATCTACTGCTAGCAGTAATTCCAAACATTGCTTACTATATAAACAATTACGGCTCTAGCTAGAAGGAAAAGAAAAACATGTACAGAGAACGCCTGGTACTCTAGAGCAACTGAATAGGAAGGCAAAAGGAAACAGAAAGTGCCCTTAAATACAAAATAATAAAAAATAAACTAAATCAACATTCACCTAGCATTAATCAACTACAGAAATAGGAGGGGTAAATTATAATAATAATAATAATTACTATTGCTGAAGTGCGTCTGCGATTTCGCATCGCCAGAACACGAAAATAAACTTCACTCTAAACAGCGTTTGGAGACCACGATTGAGCCAAACTAAGAATTTGTTTTGGTAGTTGAAATTTTCGAATTTTTACTTTCAAAAACTGTTATAAAATCTGTTTTGTTGTTAATGTTTGCGATGTAAGCACAAATCAATGCCCTTTGAGAGTCTATTCCCGTATTTCGAATAGCTCTACCACTTTTGTTTTCATCTCCTTTTTCTCTTTCGTCACAGTAAACTGAAAAACAACCTATAATCGAAGCAACTATGCAAAATCGAACCAAATCATAAGCCCTTTCATTTTTTTTTTGGTAAATTGGGGTAGTGCGCTCGAATGAAAAAAAAAATTAACTTGATCATGAATTCAAACAAGAAATCCACCGCGAATCCATCCGCAGGCCCTAGACTTTTTCCAAGTTTTCATGTTGCCACGCCACTGTTGTTGTTTTCCTATTAGACGGTCGTAATCAACGGTACCAGGACCGGCGTGGTGGAGGGACCGGATGAAGCTGCTGCTGCTGCTACTGTTGCTGATGGTACCGACACGGCAGACGCCGAAATGGCAACCTCCGATGAAGCGGACGACGACGACGACGAAGACGAAGAAACGGATGATGATGGCAAGGTTTGTGCTTTTAATTGTCACTTTTCCGTCGGTACCGCCTGGTAGCGGGGCTTACTGTGGGTGAACGGCAGGTACCGGTACTTGATCATGTGCTGGATGGCGGAAGAGAAGAGATGAAAGTGGTGAAACATTAGAGGATGTGGTTTTGCATTTAGTAGTCGTTATATAGCTGCATAAGAATTATCAAGGTGTCTTAATTGCTATATTGTAATTCAACAGTGAGCATGCACAAGGACCTAATTCTTGATAGAGCTGGAATTAGGGCGTAATAGCTTTTGTAAACAACGACTTCTCTAGATGATTTCTCGAAACTCAAGGCACGCCCACGCAAACCAACATATCCAACGGGAAGGGGAAGTCTTCCCCTACCCGATGGTGACGTTGATTTGAGTGAGCGAGTCTTGGCTTTCTAGAAATCATCGAGAGAAGTCATTGTTTACAAAAGTTGTTTCGCCCTAATTCCAGCTCTAACTAGAATTTTCTCTTTCAATTGCTACAACTAAGGAAAGCAATTTTCTGAAATTTGTAACAGGTTATGTTGGCTATCAAAATCAACACAACCGCACCGAGAAATGTTAATCCAAGCGATTTATTAACAAAAGAGACAAATCGGAGATGGTCGAATCAGATCGATTCGTCATTATTTGGTGTGGAACTGCTCTATAATGTAAATTTTGGAGGAAATTAACTTGACAGGGAGGATTTTTGTAGAGAAATAATGCCACCCTCAATAATCATGAAAATTAATCATTTGCAATCCTATCTCACCCATAAACCATGAATGTAGAATGACCTACTCCATCCTGAATGTCTACAATGTCCCCTAAACATGTACAAATTCCCTGAAGTTTTAAAAATTATCCTGAACTTCAACGAAGTTGCCCGAATTTCCGCAACATTCGCAAAATTTATCTCAAGTTCGCTTATTTTCAGCAAGTTTTAATTAAGTTCTACAAACTTCTCTGAACTTCCACAAAACTTGCTGAACTTCTAAAAAAATCTTTGAAGTTTTATGAAGTTCACTGAGCTTCTCTTAAGCCCCTAACATAAAAAAATACCTCATTTCAATTCAAAATATTTTCAGAATAAAAAGAGTTGGGGTTTTTTACGGAGTTGTGATGGTTTCTGCATTCTTCAGTATCAGACGTAGGTTTGAGAGTTATTAAAGTTTTCTAAGATTCTAATTCGAAGATGTTTCTTGAAAATCTATAACGATTCATTTACGTTTAAGAAGTTCTCTTCTTCTAGCTTCCACAAAGTTCTCTTAAGTCAAATGATATTCTCTTAACTTTTAAGAATTGGCCTTGGCTTCTAAGAAGGTCCCTGAACTTCAGGGAAAACTCAATTTTATAAATCTTAAATATTGAACACTTTCCCTTGCCCGCAAATTTTAAAATTAGTGGTGGAGACATCTCGTCAATCTTCATGAAGATTTTATATATAAGGGAAATGTATGTAATGTCGGCCTAAGTGTCCATAATTTTGACCCATAAATTCAGCAATCGACTAAATTTTCAATAGCAACCAAAAATATCCATTAGTACCGTCCCAATGACGCGTTCATCTAGATAAAATTGATAATTAGCAAATTTTTAGCAATGGGCCCAATCTTAGCTCCATACACTCTAAAAAATCTTCAAATCTCAAATGTTACGTGACGTTTGTAGCTTTAACCTGCATTACATGTCATGTCCACTAAAAATGTTTTTTTTTTTTTCCTTTATTTAACGTCGGTCTCTGTTCCGCAATCTAGTGCCAATCACCGACGGACATCGATTGCCATCCATTGACGGCAATCGAATGTGCAGGAAGGCAGCTTCCACACCTGCGTAGGATATTGCACCCATTCAACACACATACACAAGGGCCGGGACCAACGGCTTTACTTCCCTTCCGAAGGAAGACGTGACCAGAGATTTTTATGCCTCAGAAAAATCCCACCGACCTCGGCTGGGATTGAACCCAAACCCATCGGGGTGTTAGAAAGCAGTCACGCTTACCACTACACCACCGGCGCCGGCTAACTAAAAATGTTTGTGAAATTTACCATATATTCACTTAAACAGTTTTAGTGTATTTGTGTGTTTGGAAATTCGATGAAACGAGATTTACGTGATTTTCAGGTACGCAAAAAAAAAATCAATATGGCGTCACCGACCGTGGTGGAAGACACAAACGTTTGTGGTGGAAGAACTCCTCAAAGATTCAAAATTCCTCAGCGCTTGCTGCAAATGTTGGACGGTAATTAGATTCTTTTACATTAATTTATTTATTATTATATGTAGGCTTTTTCAAGTTTTATAATTTCAGACGGTGCCATCAGCATTTTGAGTCTGTAAACAGGTATTAATTTATACACGTGAAATTGATATCTTCCCGATAAAATTGCATAATATTGACTGCTTCTATATATACTTCCCATTATTCTCATTAATAATTCACGTACACATTACTACATGAAAAGCATTTTAAACAAAACGGAATGTCACGTAAAAGTTACCAGATGTCCAGTAGTTTTCACCCCGATTTCACGTAAGCAGTACGTGGAAATCAGGTCTTATTAACCTGACTAATCACGTAGATAATTAAAACTGAATTTTGATCGGCTACGTGCAACTCCGGTAAAGTTACGTGAAAATAGGGAGGACGAAAACCACCTATGTTTTCACGTCAATCGGACGTGAAGATTTTTCACAGTGTAGGCCAACATTAGAGCCATTTCCTCTAAAGCGTATGAACGTCTGTCAAAAGTTGTTCCAATCGTACCGTCAAAATGCACCGCTTTGCTCGATTGGAACAGCTTTTTTTTCAGTTTTGTGGTGACAGTCGTCCATACTTTTACTGTAGGGCTTTAATTTCTCCTACGTGGCATTTCTGTGCTGAATAATTCAGGTCAGGAAAAACAGGTATAGGTAATAGTGAGAATTTGCTGCGATGTCTCTTTCTCTTTTATGCTACCATAGAGGTAACTCTAAGACCACTGGGTCCCGAAGAAAATCATTATTATTTTTGGTTCACTCAGTACCAGAACAACGGTCCCAAGCAGTCCCAAGCTATTTCACTCACCCCTGCATGTTCTGCATGAATCCACACACCCCTGATGTTATCTGTCAAACTTTCATAGCGAATCAAAACAAACACAGTGTAGTAATAGAATTTCAACTAGAATAGGGTACGTTAATCGTTTGCTTGGGACCAATAGGCTACTAAAGTGGTGAGCCAATTTAAAATCGTTAGTTTCGTATTGATTGTTGATGCTACTCTTATGGAATGTAATGAGGACATCGTAAAACGGAGAGTCAGGGGAAGGGGCGCTAAACTGAGAGTTCGCCACCTAAACCAAGATCGCTAGGGTGGAACACTTGCCCCTAGATCCGCTACCGCTTTTCGCCAACTAAGGCTCTGAACCATTTGAAGGATTATTTTAACTTTTGGCTAAAATTTGGCAGATGGAAAATTATCGATTAACCCTGCTATCCAAGCGTGGTTACTTCTGACAGACAATAAGTTAAATTTTGATTTTAAATGGTTCAGAGCCTTAAAATATTCTCCGACGAACTCGCGAAACTTGAGAAGCTTGATACCTTTCAATTGTTTAGGTTTTGTTCCATTTGGAAATTTTTTACTTAAATTTGACGCTTCGAAAATAAATTAAGATGTTCGAAAATCCCTTTGTTATTGTTCGGCCAATTTTCGAGAAAGCGTCTGTCAAAGTTGATTCCTTGTCTTTTAGAAATAAGTCTGCTGGAATAGCAGGTTTATTTGAAAATTTTCCATTTGTAAAATTTAAGTGAAAATTCATAACACAGCCTTATATCATAGAGGTAACTCTAAGACCAGAAGGTCCCGAAGAAACGAGCTCAACTTTTTGGCTCAGCTCTGGTACTATCTTCGGTCCCAAGCTAATCGATGCACCCCTCGAAACATAGGAAAATCCACGAACCCCTCATTTTATCTGTCAAACTTTCATATAGCGAATCAAAACAAACATAGTGTAGTACTGGAATTTATACTATAATGAGGTACGTTAATTGATTTGCTTGGGACCAATAGGCTAGTCAAGTAATGAGCCAACTCACATAACTTGTTTTTATGCTTTCAGCAAAAACATGAGTGAACTTAACATCAATACGATGCAGATGGAGGTTGATAGAGAAGAGGCAATTATGGAAAGCAGTTCGATAGAGGATATTCCTTCTTGCTCTTTGTCTATTTTGGATACTCCGATTGGAGACGGCGACGGTTTTGAAGACGACGACGACTTCGAAGATGGGATAAATATCAACAACTAATACTTTCCCCAAAAATCCACCTGCAATTGCTACTGAGACTGATTCTACTGAGCAATCAAGTTCATTGGGAAACGACTCGGGAAACGGTAAGCATACGAAGTTAAGTGGTGCTGCTAGGAAACGCTATAAGCGAATGATAATCAACGGAAAGAATATAGAAGAAGCTTATCGTCTCGCTCGAATTCCTATGCAGACACCGAATCCTGATCTTCAAAAAAGATCGCGTAGTGCTGAACTTAGTTGTTCAAGTAGTAGTGGAGGTAATCCTCGTCCAAGCAAAATCCATTGTAAGTTTTCGGAACCGAAGCCTGGTTCAAACCGCCCTGATCTGGGAAAGGCCTCGGTTCAAAATCGATTGATTGTCAATCAGAAGGATCGCTCTGAACGTGTTGAAAATACACGGAAAGATACTAGACCTCTTTATCGTGATGTGGTGAATAGTGTTAAGCTAGGAATCATTCCGGAAAACTACCCTAACGTTGAATTATCCACACAACAGTTGGTAGCCATACGCAAGGCTATCCTTACAAAAGTTGTGCAGCAACGGAAGAAGAAGGTCAAGCCTAAATTTGGACAATGTGTTTTTAGGACGAGGTATCTAGTTCTCGTCTGCAAAAATCAGGAAACAGCTGACTGGCTGAAAAGCGTAATTTCTACCATTACCATCTTGGGAGAAATAGAACTTACTGCTGTGGATGAAAAAAATATTCCTCGTCCTGAAATTATTATTGGTTTTTTTCCTGTGAGTGCTGAAGACTCTACTGATGATATTCTAGCACTCCTTGAGAGTCAAAAGGAAG